CACTCTCCTGGCTAGTATTCAACAGAGCTACCATCAGCATGGGTAACTGGATTTTGTGAAAAAATTTCATTCTTACTAATAACCTCCTTGATTCTTATCTGTCTTTGTGTGTGTTAGTCGCTCAGTCGTGCCTGACTCTTTGTGATCCCATATTTCTCTTTAATGCATCCTTATTGTTGGCAACATGTATATCCTGCTTTATCAGTGACCTTTGCATAAACTTTTTCACTGGTTTTACTCTCATTTGAGGCAGTTCATGATATGGCTGTTGTTTTGTTTTTTTTCCACAGCAGTACTTCTCATTATTTCTCAGCATGAAAGATTTTAACCAAATCAGTCTGTTTGGATAATAGACTTGATTATCTGGTTTCATAACTATGTAAGTGTGTTTCTTTTTTTTTTAAAGCCTGTTCTTTTTTTTCCCCTGAATTTCTTTTTAGTTTAGAAACTCTGTTTCTTCCTGTCTCTTTACTCTATTTCCATTCCGTCTTTCCCCAGCCATCCTTTGACCATCCGGTAGCGGAGAAGAGAGGAGAAAGCCATGGTGTCCATTGCATGGCATATGCTGATACATTAAACTCCACAAGAGGCTAAGTTATCATTTAAATACAAAAGCAGAATTGATTGAAGTTGCTTTGGTTTCTGATTTGCAGGCTGAAGTAGTGAAGAGTGCTAGTTTTTTAATGTGACATCTAACATATTTTGCAACTAAGGTTGAGTCAAAGTGTAGTGACCTTCATCCTTCATTCTTTCATTAGATCTGTTGCTTAAAGATACTTACCTCAAGCATTATTTTTCTCACAATGATTATGATGATGATGTTAATGGTCACACAAGTAGTATTACTCTTTTTTTTTTCATTTATTTTTATTAGGTGGAGGCTAATTACTTTACAGTATTGCAGTGGTTTTTGTCATACATTGACATGAATCAGCCATGGATTTACATGTATTCCCCATCCTGATCCCCCCTCACACCCGATTCCTCTGGGTCTTCCCAGTGCACCAGGCCCGAGCACTTGTCTCATGCCTCCAGCCTGGGCTGGTGATCTGTTTCACCCCAGATAACATACGTTTCGATGCTGTTCTCTTGAAACATCCCAGCCTCGCCTTCTCCCACAGAGTCCAAAATTCTGTTCTGTACATAGAAGTAGTATTGCTCTTATGTAAGTTATATAAGCAAGTGCACCAGGAAGTATTCAGTGTAATGCCTAGCAGATATTCAGTCAATATTATTTAAAATTTAAGGTTATTTGACTTTTTTCTTTATGTAGACCAGAAGATATTTCAGAATGTGATAGGTTGCTGCTGTTGAGAAATAAATTGATTTTTAAAAATGTAGAGACAAACCTTTTAGTTGAGGATTAAGGTAGGAAGATAAAATGTATACATTTTCTAAAAAGTAAAGGATTACCATGGGTTCGGGATAAGGAAAGGAACTCCACTAATAAAATTTTTACTATCCTGGATCTGAAAATTTTAACCAATACAGAAAGACAAGGAAAAGACTTTTGTGCTAGGACTAAGGAGATGAGTGTGCCGTTATTTGCTGACACCTGGATAGCCTATGACAACCAGTAAAACAACTGCCAGGACTGATAACATTGTGTCTCTTGACATGTGGAGTCCAGGAGCTCCTCGGCCACACAGGTTTAAAGCTGAGGAGGCCAAAGTGTTCTTCATTTGTTGCTCAGTTAAGCAGACAACACCATCATCTGCCTGCTGGCTTAAGCCTGAGGGTCCCCGTCTTTCTCCAGTAGTCTGCAGGTGCACAGACAGGTCCGTGCGCATATACCTGCAACAGAGCTTTACTGGGGTCCTGCCGTGTTCCAGGCTTGGGGCTAAGTACACCCTGGTGAACAGAGTAACTGCCTCTAACAACTTGCTTTCTCATGCGGGGAGAGAGACGGTGTCAAATTCATGGTATGTGAGGAGTACGGGCTTTAGAGCAGAAACAGGGCAGAGCTCTGTGATGGGGAACACCAGGTGGGAGCGGCGTGCTGGTCTGTGTAAGGAAGCAAACCTGTGCTGCTGGGGTTTAACAGGAGTCTTCCACTCTGTGTGCTGAAGCGACTGCAGCTGGTCAGACTTGGAAGTGGGGAGACTAGTTAGAAGGCAGTTGTGATACAGGTGAGAAAGGATAGTGGCCGTGAGCAGTCACAGGGAGTGTAGTAGCCAGGGATCCTGTAAGCGGTGCTTATTTTAGTGAATATTTTGAGTTAGAATGGACAGGATTCACTCTTGGACTAGATGTAGTTAGGGGTTAGTGAAAAGAAGGGTGACTTTAAGCTTTGTGACTTGAGCAGTCGCAATAAGAGCATTCCCATTTCTCACGGATTGCTACCACTCCCCTCTGTCTTGCCCGTCTACCATTGCTGTGTGCCACTCTGTCAATTCACCTTCAGTGGTCTGAGTTTTTCTAAAATGCAGTTCTTTTGATGTCTCTCTCATACTTAAGACTTCAGTGGCTCCACGTTGCTCTAAGAATAAAAGCCAGAATTCTTTAGTCAGTCAGTTCAGTCGCTCAGTCATGTCCGACTCTTTGCGACCCCATGGACTGCAGCACGCCAGGCCTCCCTGTCCATCGCCAACTCCCGGAGTTTACCCAAACTCATGTCCATTGAGTCAGTGATGCCATCCATTCATCTCGTCCTCTCTCGTCCCCTTCTCCTCCTGCCCTCAATCTTTCCCAGCATCAGGGTGTTTTCAAATGAGTCAGCACTTTGCATCAGGTGGCTGGCCAAAGTATTAGAGTTTCAGCTTCAACATCAGTCCTTCCAATGAACACCCAGGACTGATCTTTAGGTTGGACTGGTTGGATCTCCTTGCAGTCCAAGGGACTCTTAAGAGTCTTCTCCAACACCACAGTTCAAAAGCATCAATTTTTTGGCGCTCAGCTTTCTTCACAGTCCAACTCTAACATCCATACATGACTACTGGAAAAACAGTAGCCTTGACTAGACAGACCTTTGTTGACAAAGTAATGCTTAAAAGGTCTCACATGTTCTGGTGCCATTTTTTCCACCCAATACTCTTTGTTCTTATTATTTTACTCGTTTCTGTGCCCTTGCAGAACCTGAAACACTGTCCTTCCGTAATCTGTGGCCTTCCTTCTCCCACCCCAAACATTTCTCACTTGCCCTACTCCTTTTTTCTTTCTAGCTTTTGCTTAGATATCATTCATTCCATAGAGAGTATCCCTTACAAATATGAGTTGATCTTCTTTAGTCTCCTGTGGTTCTTACCCAAACACTGTAGATGTATCTATGTGTGCACTTTAATTGGATTGGTTCTTAAATTTTTTGAGGCCAAGACATGTCCATTTTGTCTAGCATATTCGTTTTCAGTTGGTGCTAATAGATACTTATTTGAATGAAATAATAAATAAGTAAAGTGAATGACTATAAAACACACATGTGAAATCCAACAAAATTTCTATATTCTACCAGTAACAAGTAACAAAGTATAGTGGGGAAACATTGAGTTAATCAATATGCCCAGAGACCTAGGAGTGTAATACTTAGGGCACTAACATTAACAGTAAATGTGCAGGATGCCTGTGCAGAATGCTGTGTTAAGTTGAAAAATTATAGACAAATGTCATGTTCATGATTAGGAAGTTTGGAAATTGTCAACATGTCAAATTTCCCTGAATCTGTTCACGAATGCCTTACAGTTCAAATACAATTCAAATGGATTTTATTTTTAGAACTTTGGAATTGCTCTTAGGTTCATGTGGAAAATAAATGAAAAAAGTGAAGAATGTTTAAAAAAAATAATAATTTGAACAGCCAATTAGTAAGATATATCTTAAATCCTACAGTGCTGAAGGCAGAATGATAGTAGCCCAAGAGTAGTACATGGAACTGTGGAGCAGAATTAGACGTCCAGGAAAGCCAATATAGAATAAAAGTATAACATAAAATCATTTGAGAAAGATGGTTGGTTATTCATAAAATGATAGAGATAATTAGTTAATAAACATTTTGAAAAATATAAAATTTGATCTCTATTTCTCACTGTGTACCCAAACATGTAATTATAATGCTTTTCTGATATACAAAAACTTTAATATAATATAACATGTATATTATATATATATTTATATTTTATATATATTGTATTTATATATATTATATATTTATATATATATAATATAATATAACGTGCCATCTTATATATGAAGATTGTTTTTGAAGTTTTTTCAACATTAGTGGTTTATTTATATATATCTAGTTAAACGATTTGCTCCGTTGTTTTCGAGATCCTAATTTTGTCTAGATGAATGACTTGTCAGAAATGCTGTCCATGTGTACAAAGGAGAGGAACGATGACAGGATCACTTTACTGGTTACAGCTGTTAACCTTGACTGTCACGTACTGTGCTGGAATCACAATCCATATATTGTTCGTCAGGATGTATTTATTCCCTTATTTTTTAGCAAAGACAGAGAAGTTAAATGCATTTGCTGATTTTTAAAAGCTCATATAAAGTGGGCTGAATATTAAAATTTGAGTATTTTTCAAATATTTGGAAAACAGTTATAAACATTATACTGTCCAGTTTTATATGAACTGTCTTTTTAAATAAATAAGGTGTATCAACCATGAAACAGCTGGGTGTTTGTTTAGCACTCTTGGAGCTAACTCCTTAAGCTATCCTAAGTGTCAGCACCTTTATTTTTATGACTGTGTACTGTATATTGTTGAGACGGACTCACTGTGCTTCTGCACCTGATGGCTTTGGTTTCCATAGTGAACAAGAACTTTGTTTTTGTGTTTTCTCTTAGACTTTTAAATATGTACTCCTAGTTGTTTTTTTAGGGAAAGAGCTCCCAGACCCTATATGAAATAGTTTGGGTCTTGGGATATCTACTATTCTATTATTTTTGTAACTGATTTATGTTATTTATGTCTTTTTTAAGATTATTTTATGACAAAGTTAATATCTTCTTTTTTGACAGTTGAGTGCCTAACATGGATCTATCCTTGGTTTTACAGAGAAAAGAGAAGAGGAAGATTTTGAAGAGAAGAAAGCTATTAAGAAACGAATTAAAGAACTTAAATTTCTAGATTCTAAAACTGCCCAGAACCTTTGTAAGTATCAGATGTCAATATAATTAAATTAGCAAAACACACCACTGAACACACTGGTTCCTTTAAATTATGACATTTTCTTTTTGACTCTGTTCTCATTTTATGTTAATTTTATTATTGTCACTTTATAATAGATTCAAAGATAACTTTCCTTTCCTTTAACTCATAATTCCTTTAGGAATTTGAAGTTAAATTCTTCAAAAGATTAATGCATAGTAGAAAATAAAGCTAGGAAAGGGATTTAAAATAAAACTATATTTCCCATTATTGAAAATAGACCTACCCTTTAAAGTCTTTCTTTTAAGTATAACAATAAAGAATTATGGAATTTAGGTGATGACATCATATTTTTTTAAAAAATTGGTAATGGATTATTTCTTCTGTACCTCTGAATCTCTATTATTTGTGATACTTTATCAGACACAAAGGAGTTTGAAATATTAATGGGAATAAGGATGGTGATTAAAATGAATTCTGTTATCCCATTTGAGCAGTTCAAAGTCTTTCCTCAAAAGTACTGCCTGGAAATATTTTAGATTTAATTACTGTTACAGGAGCTAAATACTTAGCATTGAATTGTCTTCCTGGCTGAATTACTGTGGGAGAAGAGGGCAAATGGGTTTGCTTCTGACTCATTTCAGCTGCATCTTAAATGCATCAAAGCCAGTTCTGTTTGAAACTGAGATAATATGATCTGGATATATTACTTTCTGATGCTACAAGGTGGATAAAATGTGGAGAATCTAGAGGCACGAAGAGCTAATGTAGTCTGCCGTTCAATTATTACAAGCCTCAAGTGAGCTTTTTGCAAACACTTGACCAAAACAGTCCTTGGCGAGAGGATGAGCCTCCTTGCTATTGAGGCAGGAGGGAGGGAGTTAGAGCAGTGTCTGGAGAAGGCGGGGTTGACACTCCTTTGTGAAAGCTCTGGAACCCTTTTCTTACACTGCTTACTTTTGGGTACTCCTGACAGGATGTAAGCTTGACAAGATCCCTATGGATAGTGTACAGAAATTAGTGTTCTGACCAAAACAGCGTTTCTGTTTCTGGGCCCCTGTTGATTGTGCATAGCTGCCTCTTTGCTGTGGAGCCCTGTGGCTTGTTTGGGCCCAGGAAGGTGCCAGCAGGCATGCGGTGTGGAGGCGTTACCTGCTGTGGGAGCAGCTCCAGGGCTCTCTGCCTTCACTCAGAGCATCGTCCTCCCAACGTGAGAACCGTAAGGCAGGGAGCCTATCTTCCTGGTGTCTGCTGAGCATGTGGTCTGAAGTAGAAAGGTTTTGGGGCCGGGAGGTTAGACCAGTGAAATTTTGGTATTTGTTATTTCAGGAAACGTCCTTCTTAAAGGGAGGGAAAAGCATTAATAACTTAAATAATGTGAAAAAGATCTTTACTCTGATTTGAAGAGTGATTTTTGTCTTGAAAAATGTTATGGCTTCCATTACAAATTGTCTTGTTCGGGGTCCTAAAGAAATATTATCTTGAATATGATTCTTTTTAGGTGGGTTAGCCATGGTTCAGTTCAGTTCAGTTCAGTCGCTCAGTTGTGTCCGACTCTTTGCGACCCCATGAATTGTAGCACGCCAGGCCTCCCTGTCTATCACAAACTCCTGGAGTTTACTCAGACTCATGCCCATCGAGTTGGTGATACCATCCAGCCATCTCATCCTCTCTCATCCCCTTCTCCTCCTGCCCCCAATCCCTCCCAGCATCAGGGTCTTTTCCAATGAGTCAACTCTGCATGAGGTGGCCAAAGTATTGAAGTTTCAGCTTCAGCATCAGTCCTTCTAATGAACACCCAGGACTTATCTCCTTTAGGATGGACTGGTTGGATCTCCTTGCAGTGCAAGGGACTCTCAAGAGTCTTCTCCAACACCACAGTTCAAAAGCATCAATTTTTCAGCGCTCAGCTTTCTTCAGATGGTAAGATAGCCTAAATAGCCATCTCAAAGTTGAATGATTGGTCTGCAGAGCAGTGTTCTTTAGTATTAGTTATGTATTAGAGGGAAAATCAGTAGACCATTCAGGTATGACTTAAATCCCTTATGACTATACAGTGGAAGTGAGAAATAGATTTAAGGAACTACATCTGATAGACAGAGTGCCTGATGAACTATGGACAGAGGTTCGTGACATTGTACAGGAGACAGGGAGAAAGACCATCCCCAAGAAAAAAATATAAGAAAGCAAAATGGTGTCTGAGGAGGCCTTACAAATAGCTGTGAAAAGAAGAGAAGCGAAAAGCAAAGGAGAAAAGGAAAGATATTCCCATCTGAATGCAGAGTTCCAAAGAATAGCAAGGAGAGATGGGAAAGCCTTCCTCTGTGATCAATGCAAAGAAACAGAGGAAAACAATAGAATGGGAAAGACTAGAGATCTCTTCAAGAAAATTAGAGATACCAAGGGAACATGATAAAGATGGGCTCAATAAAGGACAGAAATGGGGTGGACCTAACAGAAGCAGAAGATATTAAGAAGAGGCGGCAAGAATACACAGAAAAACTGTGAAGATCTTCACAACCCAGATAATCACGATGGTGTGATCACTCACCTAGAGCCAAACATTCTGGAATGTGACGTCAGGTGGAGCTTAGGAAGCATCACTAGGAACAAAGCTAGTGGAGGTGATGGAATTCCAGTTGAGCTATTTCAAATCCTGAAAGATGATGCTGTGAAAGTGCTGCACTCAATATGCCAGTGAATTTGGAAAACTCAGCAGTGGCCACAGGACTGGAAAAGGTCATTTTTCATTCCAATCCCAAAGAAAGGTAATGGCAAAGAATGCTCAAACTACTGCACAATTGCACTCATCTCATGCACTAGTAAAGTAATGCTCAAAATTCTCCAAGCCAGGCTTCAGCAATATGTGAACCATGAACTTCCAGATGTCCAAGCTGGTTTTAGAAATGGCAGAGGAACCAGAGGTCAAATTTCCGACATCCTCTGGATCATTGAAAAAGCAAGAGAGTTCCAGAAAAACATCTATTTCTGCTTTATTGACTATGCCAAAGTCTTTGACTGTGTGGATCACAATAAACTGTGGAAAATTCTGAAAGAGATGGGAATACCAGACCACCTGACCTTCCTCTTGAGAAATCTGTATGCAGGTCAGGAAGCAACAGTTAGAGTGGACATGAAACAACAGACTGGTTCCAAATAGGAAAAGTAGTATGTCAAGGCTGTATATTATCACCCTGCTTATTTAACATATGTACAGAGTGCATCATGAGAAACACTGGGCTGGATGAAGCACAAGCTGGAATCAAGATTGCTGGGAGAAATATCAATAACCTCAGATATGCAGATGACACCACCCTTATGGCAGAAAGTGAAGAGGAACTAAAGAGCCTCTTGATGAAAGTGAAAGAGGAGAGTGAAAAAGTTGGCTTAAAGCTCAACATTCAGAAAACTAAGATCATGGCATCTGGCCCCATCACTTCATGGCAAATAGATTGGGAAACAGTGGAAACTGTCTGACTTTATATTTTTTTGGCTCCAACATCACTGCAGATGGTGATTACAGTCATGAAATTAAAAGATGCTTGCTCCTTGGAAGGAAAGTTATGAGCAACCTAGACAGCATATTAAAAAGCAGAGACATTACTTTGTCAACAAAGGTCTTTCTAGTCAAGGCTATGGTTTTTCCAGTGGTCATGTATGGATGTGAGAGTTGGACTATAAAGAAAGCTGAGCGCCTAAGAATTGATGCCTTTGAACTGTGGTGTTGGAGAAGACTCCTCAGAGTCCCTTGGGCTGCAAGGAGATCAGTCAGTCCATCCTAAAGGAGATCAGTCCTGGGTGTTCATTGGAGGGACTGATGCTGAAGCTGAAACTCCAGTACTTTGGTCACCTCATGTGAAGAGTTGATTCATTGCAAAAGACCCTGATGCTGGGAGGGATTGGGGGCAGGAGGAGAAGGGGACGACAGAGGATGAGATGGCTGGATGGCATCACCAGCTCAATGGACATGGGTTTGGGTAAACTCCGGGAGTTGGTGATGGACAGGGAGGCCTGGCGTGCTGCGGTTCATGGGGTTGCAAAGAGTCAGACACGACTGAGTGTCTGAACTGAACTGATGTATTACACACGTGTACTAAACTGGATTTCAGGTTTAAGTGTAATAATTGATGTGCTGGTTCAGGATGTGCCTGTTAGCCTTTACTGCAGTCTCTTCATGTTGGTAGGTGATTTGACATGTAGGTTTTGACATGTAGGTTGTTGGTAGCATGACATTTGAGTGACTTGAAAAAGATTGTTTGTTTTGAAAATGGCTGTTTAAAGAAAGCAAAATAAAGACAGATACTGTTGGGATTGCTGTAGCTGAGCATATGAATCCATTTATTTAATCATTAGATACATTTTAAAGTATAACATCAAAAGGTCAGAATTTATACCAAGTCATCATATTATGATGTAATCAATCTTGGATCATTCTTACCCTCTGTGAGTGTAGCAAGTTTTATTATTTAAGCTTTAAGAGACTTTAGCAGCCTATAATCTTTACTATTATTATAATCTGATTCACAGTTGGTTTTTGTCTATGAAATTCAGTCTTTGAGATACTGAATTCTGAGAAGAGTCACGTGATAGTGACAAGATTGTATCTTATCACTTAGAAGCCTAAGGTACTTTCTCTTAAATTTCTCTTAACTGAAACATTTCACAGAGTTTTGAGAAAGGATCTAAAATCTATTGATTTAATTACCTATTTATTTAAAAATGGGTTGTATGTGTTAGTCGCTCAGTTATGTCTGATTCTTTGGGACCCCATGGACTGCAGTCTGCCAGGACTATGGAATTCTCCAGGCAGGAATACTGTAGTGGGTATATTTTGAGTTCGTGAAGTTTGTCTGAGTCTGGGTTCAGGGTAAAACAATCTAGCCATTCTAGGATGAAGAGATGGCTTGTCTATGGAATTCTGTCTATGGAATTCTCCAGGCAGGAATACTGTAGTGGATATATTTTGAGTTCGTGAAGTTTGTCTGAGTCTGGGTTCAGGGTAA